ACCTTTTCTCCCAAGCAAAAAAAGATCAACAAAATCATAGGTCAATATGGCCGGGCAGAGTTCATAGAGTAAAAATTGGAGGTATTGTAGGTGTTCTGCTCGAATGCGTGCTTTAGCTTACCAAATTTCGCACCCTTTCGTCAATAAATTGGAAAAATTAAGTACGAAAAGTTGCTAATGAGGCGGCGCTTGGATTTCACAGATCTTGGGTCTATTCTGCATGTCCAACGAAAGTAGTTTTAGATTTACATGCGTAACACTCTTGTGCGGAACAACTCTACTGTTTCGCCAAACACTCCACAGCAACGGTTTCAGAACTTCCAATACTTTCTTTATTAACTATAACTTTTACATCTTGATAGCGTTCAGTTCGAATTCTAAGCGAAGAACAGTACAAAAGAAAAAAGCCTTGAAACATTGTCTAAATTAATCGAGCTAACTGATACAAATTGCACTTGCAAAAAGAAAAAAAAAAAACAGGAGATGCATGAGCGGACCTTAAGCTTTTATGGGAGGTGCACGTGCACCCCTGGTTACGACCCTGATGAAGGAGGTTTTGTGTCTAATATAGATCCGTCTTCATTTGCACAAACTTTAGCTTGGATTTTCTCTATCTAACTTGGTTCATTTCGTAATGAATTCGGTACAATGATAGAACATACATCATGAATTTTCTAAGCCGTTTAATAAAGTCGCAGATCGTGTCTTATCGGGTCTAAAACCACTCGGCTGCGCCTCGTGTTTCATTCCTGCTCGCTTATTAAACATTACATGTTCAATTTTTGCCAGCTTCGTGACACTCAGTTTTGCATGTCACTATTTCAGATCAGCTGGTTAGCTGTATGGGCTTCAGAGTGTTCTCATGTGACCCAATTTGTGCGATTTCATTGGGCGTCAGCCTAAACACACTACAGTCGACTCTCCCGTAAGCGACCACCTCGGGCCAGGAGAAAGTGGTCGCTTACAGGAGATGGTCGCTTACGAGAGTTAACACAGGAAGCCCAAACAATGGGAATCCTAACGCAGGAAGCCTATACCCTTTATAATTTTGTTACTCTAGTGTAAATCTACTGTATTAACGATTAAAATGTTTTAATCAAAATTTTGAATGTGCTTTATGTTTACAGTAGTGTAATTGTCAATATTTCGTCGGGTTTTCAATACACGATGACTCTATGTTCTTAAATTGTTTATTGCATAGGATCTGTCACCATCACCATTACATCTTGGGTGGTCGCTTACGGGAGAGGAAAAACAATGAAAAGTTCCAAAATTATAACCCCAAAGGTGGTCGCGGTCGCTTATGAGAGTGGTCGCTTACGAGAGAGTTTTTTTACAGAGTTTATATGGGGAGCAAAACGGGAAATTCAAAAAGTGGTCGCTTATGGGAGATGGTCGCTTACGAGAGGGTTGTTCAAAGAGAGTCGACTGTATTCATAAATATAATCTCTAATATTYCAGTACTTTTAGTGTTGATTATGCATGAAGTGATTATTTGAATGGTAAAATATTTCTTGATTTGAGCGTAGGTGCTTTACTTTATCATAGTTTATACTTTATGACCCCTTATTGTTATCAGGCATGTTTAGTGGATATGAATAACAAGCTGCATGACTTTTCTGTATATAATTATACACCTACCCCTCTAACTCAATGTATTGAGGTATGTTTGTGGATATGACTGCACAGCTACTATGGAAACATAAATTTATTTGAATCTACTAATTTTAGTGCACATTTAAATAATCATAGGATGATCCACGATTATAGTTAATAATAATTACATGTATATTTTTAGACAAGCTATCAAAGTCATGGCTCATGCGCACTCCTAAATGTCAGTCTATGACTGCAGGGGTAACATCTTGAGATTGTATTATTCGGTCTTTTCAAATGAATAAATTGTTATTCATTTATTTATTTATTTATTTACTGCAAAATTTAGCGACTTGAATTYATTATTTCTCCTGAACTCATGAAGCAACTGCTCTCAACTTGATAAATATTATCAACAGTTATGACTTCTTTATATTTCTTAAGTCTTATTTTTTAAGTCCAATCGTTCATGGCTCAAAAGTTGCTTTTTGGAAATGTACAGTATGCCCACCTATTCTTTGCTTTATACTCTTTCCACTTAAGGTGGCTGCCTACTTTTGAACGTTCGAATTGAGCCCTATATGAGCGCGCGCTCAATAACCGCTGAATAATCTACAAGATTTTATTGAAGAACCATACGTGTTTTGAGCTTCAACAGGGCAAAACCCTCAAATTTTGCACGGGACTCTCTGTTTTTTAAAAGCTCATTTGAAAAAACTCCTAAAAATCTAGGTTATATCAACATTTTAGAAAAAGTTTAAATCAGTAACACATGAAAAGATAGATTTTTGTAGGGATTTTTGTTCGACTTTATGAGATTTNAACTTGGTTCATTTCGTAATGAATTCGGTACAATGAGTGAACATACATCATGAATTTTCTAAGCCGTTTAATAAAGTCGCAGATCTTGTTTTATCCGGTCTAAAACCACTCGGCTGCGCCTCGTGTTTAACTCCTGCTCGCTTATTAAACATTACATGTTCAATTTTTGCCAGCTTCGTGATACTCAGTTTTGCATGTCTCTATTTCAGATCAGCTGGTTAGCTGTATGGGGTTCAGAGTGTTCTCATGTGTGACCCAATTTGTGCGATTTCATTGGGTGTCACCCTAAACACATTACAGTCGACTCTCCCGTAAGCGACCATTCGGGGCCAGGAGAAAGTGGTCGCTTACGGGAGATGGTCGCTTACGAGAGTTAACACAGGAAGCCCAAATAATGGGAATCCTAACACAGGAAGCCTAAACCCTTTATAATTTTGTTACTCACGTGTAAATCTACTGTATTAACGATTAAAATGTTTTAATCAAAATTTTGAATGTGCTATATGTTTACAGTAGTGKAATTGTCAATTGTCTCGCTTACGGGAGACTGAGGAAAAACAATGAAAAATTCCAAAATCATAACAGCAAAGGTGGTCGCGGTCGCTTATGAGAGTGGTCGCTTACGAGAGAGTTTTTTTTAGAGTTTATATAGGGAACAAAACGGGAAATTCAAAAAGTAGTCGCTTATGGGAGATGGTCGCTTACGAGAGTGGTTGTTCAAAGAGAGTCGTATTCATAAATATAATCCCTAATATTTCAGTACTTTTAGTGTTGATTTTGCATGAAGTGATTATTTGAATGGTAAAATATTTCTTGATTTGAGTGTAGCTCCTTTACTTTATCATAGTTTATACTTTATGACCCCTTATTGTTATCAGGCATGTTTAGTGGATATGAATAACAAGCTGCATGACTTTTCTGTATATAATTATACACCTACCCCTCTAACTCGATGTATTGAGGTATGTTGGTGGATATGGCTGCACAGCTTCTATGGAAACATAAATTTATTTGAATCTACTAATTTTAGTGCACATTTAAATAATCATAGGATGATCCACGATTATAGTTAATATTAATTACATGTATATTTTTAGACAAGCTATCAAAGTTATGGCTCATGCAAACTCCTAAATGTCAGTCTATGACTGCAGGGGTAACATCTTCAGATTGCATTATTCGGTCTTTTCAAATAAATAATTTATTATTTCTTTATTATTTACTGCAAAATTTAGCGACTTGAATTTATTATTTCTCCTGAACTCATGAAGCAACTGCTCTCAAATTGATAAATATTATCAACAGTTATGACTTCTTTATATTTCTTAAGTCTTATTTTTTAAGTCCAATCGTTTATGGCTCAAAAGTTGCTTTTTGGAAATGTACAGTATGCCCACCTATTCTTTGCTTTATACTCTGTCCACTTAAGGCGGCTGCCTACTTTTGAACGTTCGATTTGAACCCACGATGCGCGCGCGCTCAAAAACCGCTGAAAAATCTATAAGATTTTATTGAAAAACCATACGCGTTTTGAGCTTCAACAGGGCAAAACCCTCAAATTTGGCACTGGACTCTCTATTTTTTAATAGCCCATTTGAAAAACCTCCAAAAATACAAGGTTATATCAACATTTTAGGAAAAGTTTAAATCAGGAACACGTGAAAAAATAGATTTTTGTAGGGATTTTTGTTCGACTTTATGAGATTTTTTAAGTGCACCGAAACTACAAAATATGACAAATCAATGTATCTCTCTGTCTTTTTGTCGAAAATATCCATGTATTATTGAAGAAGGATTGACTAGCCTTCGTTCGTGCAATCATATAGTCTGCAAATAACTATTATCTTATGAATCTTAATTTTTTTCTAATCACTTCCGGTGGCGCAATTTTTACTCCAAAAGCTCGTGCGTAGGCTCCCATTAAATGCTAATTACCTCGAAAACAAGCTCGGTACACCCAATCTTTCCAGATTTGGAATCAGCATTAAATTTCAATTCGGAAAATCGAAGTTTTAAAAAAAAGTTTAAATCGTTTTCTAAAAGTAGGCAGTCACCTTAAGAAAAATAAGAAAAACAAACTGACACAGTCTATATTAAATGCGCATAAGGATACCTTCTGTAAGAAAGGCAGATTTCGAGGAAATATTTAAAAATCTTGAGTTCTATTCAAATGTTTCGTCAAATGCCTTAATTTTGSAAACAAAGAAGCTTTTACAAAAAGAAACCATATTGAAATCCCAGAGTTTGGGATAGCTGTGGTGAAAGAAGCAGATCTATTTCCGGTTATTTGTACGGATTGATTGGCCCTCTGATTGGATAAAACGAGGTGGAAACTTGAAAAACCGGTTTTTTGGTTTGAGCGCCACGTTTAAAAATCCAAGACCCCCAAAAAATCTTTCTCTTTTCGTGTGCCGTTTGACCTTCCACGTTCATGTTGGGAGTGTTGGGTGTCTTTTCTGTTCTAAAAGAAACAAAACTTCAATACAAAGATTTACTTCGCACTGGCTGGACACAGCACCTCCTTCTTGYCATAGAATGTTTGAAAACATGTTGTTCATCAGTCCGTTCTTTTCACTTGAAAGCAAGACTCGTGCAAGGAGACGCACACAAAACAATACTGTTAGGAGACCAGAAAACGAAAGGTACTCTCATTTAAGACTATTTATTGTATTATAATAGTTCTTTATTTTTTCTGTACCGTTGGAGCTTTGCGTAATGTTATTCCAGAGGAGTTCGGACTAGAATAAGGCTTTCAATTTAAGCTTATGATGCTTTTAAGTAACGCAGGGTTCGTGCTACYCCTTGAAATCCTTGAAAAGCCCTTTAATTGAAAACACGTTTTCAAGGGCGCTTGAAAAGCCCTTGAAAATAGAGGAAAACGCCAAAACTCCTGGAATACTCCTTGAATTTAGTACAAACTTAATGCTATTTCTAACTTTCCTTTTAAAATAAATAACGATTAAAATTGATAGAAGAGTTTAYGGTTGCTTGTTTAGTGGTTGGTTCCGTGTCATGCTCGTTTTTTATCTAAGCTTGTGGCCCCGGATGAATTAGCTGCACTTTAACAATGAAAAAATGTTTAAAACCAAGTTCTAATGCAAAAAACTTTGTCCTTGAAACTCGAAGTTTTGTGCTTGAAAAGTGCTTAAAAAGTCCTTGAATTTTGTAACGAGAAAGTGGCACGAACCCTGGTAACAGCAACAAAAAATGTTTTAAAAGCTATCAAACTCGTCTCTTTTTAAATTTCACTAGCTTTTTCTTATGGTAAAGAGTCGTTTCAGTTCGATATTCTTAAACAAAAATTACTTTAACTTTTATGCTAAGTTGAGAGCGCATGCAGTTACGCACGTTCACTATTCATATTAATGTTATAGAGCACTAACAAWAACGACCAGCGATAAATAAAAATGCCTTGGTAAACTCGTTTACAATTTCGACTTAAAACGTTTTAAAGTTTGTTTGTAAATTTAGAGCCAGCCAAAATGAAGTAAGAATTTGTTTAGCTGATACCGTTTAGAGCTATTTTGTTCGCAATTTGGATAAATAAGTTTTAACGGCACTATTATTGAATTCATGGTTGATAAAACAAACTATTATGAATGGCACTATGGTTGCTTTATCTTTATTTTTACTATTTTTTATTTTTATTTTCAATTTTATTTTTACTATTCTTTATCTTTATTTTTTTATTACGGCACTATTGTTGTTTTATCTTTATTTTTACTATTTTTATTTTTTATTTTATTTTTGCTATTCTTTATCTTTATTTTTATTATTATGGCACTATTGTTGTTTTATCTTTATTTTAATTTTTCTGATTAAGAAAAGATAATCTGCACTTAAAGGGGCTAGAAAATGTTTTGTGTCTTCATTTTCACTAACAATTATGAACTAAGAAAAATTGATATGACTATAATTCGACAGCAAGTAAAACCGGGAAAGCCAAAGACCATAAACCAAAGATCACAATGAGCATGGAAAAAAATGATGTCAGACGTTGCTATGACAACATCAGAAACCTTAGTATGCCATCAAAAATGTTCATTCAAAAAATCATAACTCAGAAACCAAATGGTGAATTTTTTTTAAAAAAACGGGATGCTTAAACTTTGTATCATAATCTTCTTTTTGAGAAGAAAAGGAAAAAACTGTTAGAGGAATTTTGTTAAAAAGCAATAAAATTTGTTTGGAATAGTTCCCTCTTACATAATTTTTTGAAATTTTTCCTTAAGTTTTTGAAAAAATAAACTAAAGCCATATGCAAAATTTGAAGGAATTTTGACCGCAGAGAGTTTAATTTTTTCTGTTATATTAAAGAATATTAAAATTTATAGAGCGAGCATGCTCAGGAAAAACCGTTTTGAGCCTCCTTAAGCTTTCAAAAATGTAAACAGTAGAAGTGTCATTCTTTGAGTATAGGCCGGGTGAAGGCATGAATGTGGTAGATAAATGCCTGCATTTAAAGGCTGCGTTTAAACGGTACAGGATGAATTTTTAACAGTCAAAAGTTATAAGTTTAACATACGCAAGATTTTGCTTTGAGTTCTACTATGACTCCAGTGAATATTCTGAAAATAAACTCGTAATTAATAATAGCTATGCAAACAATCAAAAGAAGTATTTAGATTGTGTAAAGTGTTTTTGATTTTGAAAATCTGGCTTTTACCTTGTCTTTGATTGCGTCCATTTTGGGGGAGAATTTCCACTCTTTGACCAGCCCTTCTTTGGCAACTAGGATTGCATGGATTATTAGCATTACTATCAGTCAGTCTGATAAAATTAAGTTAAAGCAAAGTAAATTATATCCTATAATAGTTTGGAATACCTGTGCAGGTGTTGAATCCATCTCCTTGGAATCTAGACTTACACATTCATTTATGCGAACCAATGGAGTTGCTACATTCAGCATTGTGATGACATGCGCTATGCAGTTTGCAGAATTGATGTCTTGCACCCCTACAACACATTCATCCATGTCTGTGGCAGAAGAAAGATAGGTTATAATATGATTAATTGAAATTATTCAAGCCTCGTACACTAAAATAGGTTTATGTCCAAATAGTGATCAAATAGTATGATTACTTGTACTTATAGTACTCGGTTGATGCAGAGTTTTGGGTATTCCCTTTTAATTATCGACCTACGATGATGCGGAATGATTAGCAACATAATCCGCATTTTTCTCACGACAAAGCATGAATGCACTACATTTGTTCCTCACGCAAAATTATAAGGCAGCGTAATATTAATAGTTCCTCGCTGAATCTCAGTTTAACTACAAATTTACATTTTGAGTTTACTTTAAGATCAAACAATTATAGCTCTACACATTTATAGGTTAACACTCTCGCTTAACCCTCCCTTAACCAACAGGTTAAGCACATCAACCTCAGAATAACACAATTGTTCTATTCAACTCCCTTTGTATTTCTGAAGATTGGCAAACGTTTTGTCAAAAAATTTCAAATAAAAGCCTCAGTTTACAAAGCGTTACATTACGTCCTGCATCAGTTTATTACACAAATGAACTTTTGTCATTCTACATTGTACATATTTTAGATTGCAGCTAAACCAAAAATTCAGGTTTGCACAATGTAAACTAGGCCTCCAAATCGTCCAGTTTAAGATCCACTTAAACTTACTAGGGTTTTGTCTGAGCCCTAGTAAACTAAAACCCTATACCAGCAATAGGATGAATATTAAGGATAAGATTATAAGACTTACTTTTGCAGCTGGGCAAATGACAAAAAGAAGCATGTGAACTATTACACATGACAGATGATTTCGATTCGGGTTTAAATCTAGGTTTACAAATCAAGGTGATTGACAAGCCGATGTCATATTTCTTTTGCGCTGGTAACCAGTTTCTGGCGTTGATATAATTGGAGTTTTGGGTTGACTGCATAAAGCTTAAGAAAATAATTAAGAAATTAAGACATAAGGAATATGAATTATAATCTTTTGACAATATATTATCAAAACATCTCATGTGTCAAGTACAAAATACTAGTTATATACCAATTTGGTTAACGCAATGTTTTACGCAATTCAAATCTACTGAATTTTCTTTGTCTAATATATTTACATACACTTATCTCGATAAAGTTAGTCACCAAAAAACCTAGAAAGCTGAGATCACTGAGGATCATGGGAAACTTTTAATATCAAACAAGTAAAGCTTTTGATACAATTTGCAGCTTGAGGATGCTGAGGAAGGGGTGAGGCTGTAAATGGTAAAAGATCTAAAATCCATCGAAACAGTTATTAAAGCAGTTGAAACAAGTAAAATGTAACTACCCATAATCCTTGTTGGTCTCAGCTTTGTAGCTTTTCAGGCAACTAACTTTATTGAAATAAGTGTCATATCTATATCAATTCAGTTTATATATTAGTTCATTTTCTATAGTCCAATATACATATCCTATACGTTCTTAAATGTTCTATATCATGTTGTATACAAATGTTCATGTTATGATTTTAAATGTCCTTGCGATAATGTCATTATTACTATTATTATTAGACTGGCTCATTTACCTATTCATTGATGTACAAGTTTGTTTACCAGGCTGCTGCCATGCTATTGATACTTGTTGTCTTSTGTTATATATTTTTACAGTTGCATGTAGGATTGATTCCATCCTATACTCTACTTATGTTCCACATTGAATGTTCTTTTACGTCGACAAATCAACGGTAGTAACATGCAAAACTGGCTATCGAATGGGACAGGGACCTAAATTTAATATCACTTGTGTGGCAAGTGGAAAGTTCGAAAAAGCAATACCTAAATGTAAAGGTAAGAAGCTATCATTAATTTACAAATCAAAAGAAATCCTAATGTTTACATAATTATTGCTCGTTTTTCATTGTCAACGACATTGATGAGTGCCGAATTGATCCCTCTATGGAGCTAAACAATCATAATGTGACAAAATACCACAAGTGCAAAAGAATGCACTCTGTATTAATACATCTGCTGGTTCATACCGTTGTGAGTGCAGCAAAGGATATAAAGGAAATAGTACTTTTTGTGAAAACAAGGAGAAACTAAATATATAGAATTTAAATATATAAAATACAGCTTACGTCCTTATGCAATAATAAATACCTACCATAGACTTTAACCGCTGCTTCCACTTGAACTGTACCAGCCTGATTGTATGCAAAGCACATATAAATTCCTTGATCAATTATTTCTCAATATTCGACATAAGCAGACTGCCATTAGGGTACACTTTGAAGTTGGGTGGGAGATTTGAAGAACCTTTGTGGAACCATTTAATGACAGGTAATGGATCACCAATTTCTTTACAGTGAATGATAGTCAAAGAGGAAGATTGTGTTGACAAAAACATAAGGGAGAGATATGGAACTGTAGTTTGAAATGTCTAGTTGTGAACCTTTAATTTTTATGAATAGGAATAACTTAAGGTAGATCCATATAGTTAATTTTGGGAAAATGGGAAATGGGAACGAGTTTTATGATGGCGCGAGCTTTTAAAGCCACGAAAAACAAAATAAAGATGGCGGTGCGCCAAGCAGTTTCAAMAAATGTCGTAAAATTACTTTTCAAAACATGCTGGAATAAAAGAACACTGCAAATAATCCAAAAAAATGTCCAAACAATTACATCAGTGCCTTTTAACGACTCAAGTGAAGCTCAAAACAAGTTCAATTTTAATATTTCGTGCATTATCAATGAGCCTGCGAGTGGTAATTCCGCGAGAAATTCAGCAATATCATGGATGGTCGGTGGGTTTGTATTGGCTGGCACAAATGTTTACCCCATCGCTCAGTTTCGCACATGCGCAAATACGGATCTTGTAGAAATTTTATTTTGATGACATAATTGACTAATTTTTGTGCGCGATTTTTGAAATTAAAAATCTCGGAAATTTGGCGGTAAAATGTCTTCAAATTTTTACAGTGTTTTTTCGATTTAGCGAGTTCTAACGACAGAATGTTTTTAATTGTGAAAAGACAGAAATTGCGTTAAATCTAAGGTTCTGTC